CGACTGCGCGAACCCGTCACCATCCTCCGGCAATTTCCTTCCGAACTGATCATACTCGACTCGAGTGTCCTGCGGACGATTGTAGCACGGCGCGAAGCTCTGCGTCGCGAGTACGCAAATCGGCTGTCGCCAGCGGATCACCTCCACCACTTCCGGTTGCCGATACGTATTTGGCCGATTATAGAACGGATGTGTGCTGTGGAAAGTCATGTCCACGGAAGTGACGCTCGTGAGGAGGCAGATGAACGGTAGCACGAGCATCGCGTTGACAACGAGAGAAATGAACTTGTGCATCGTCGCGAAAGAACCGAGAACGTTTCCGTCGGATACCGATGTAAGACTGAGGAGTGCTCTTGCGGGAGGTAGTTTTATATAGGGTAGAATGAGGTACGGAAGGGCGAAGCATTTTAGTGTAGTGTAGGTTTGAAGGAACCGAGCCGAGGGTTCGTTCCTTAACGATTTCTTAATTCTGGCATCTTGGCCGGCAATTAGAAGTCGGTCACTGAGCGCCGAGGAATGGACGATCGACTTCTAATGAACTCTGGCTTTTCCGGGTCGATGAGGTTTAATTGCATACCGGATCCTACCTAGTCTGAGTACTGAACTTTGTTGGCTTTTTTCTTCTTTTTGCTAGAAATGATTGTCTCTTTGCTTTGAGAAGCGCATTAATAGCTGTGGGGTAGTTGGATGTAACGAAGGTAACGAGAAGATAAAATGAAGATAAAATAAAGTTTACGAAAGAAAGGGTATTCGTTCGAATTTGAAAGATTAACGAATTATAAAGCCATAATCATCGATTAATCGATGATTTCAGTATACGTGGCTGATGAGCTGTGCTTCAGAGGCCCAGAACGACTCCAAATTCGGCACATCGTATAGTTTGGAATAAGCTCATTGACATTTATTGGCGTATTACGTTTAATATTTTGATTATTTGTATAGATGAAACTAATTAATTTGAAATAATAAAATGGTAAAAAATTCGTATATTGAATGGATTATAATAATAATATAATAATTTCAAATGTCTAATAAGTCATATTCTTAATTTATTACAAGCGCTTTATTACAAGGAAAACGTCGACTATTTAAGTAAAAAAATAATAAAAGACATCGTACGGCGAATATTATTAGACAATTTTTAATGATTATGATTTTGTTTGAACGAGAGCCTAGTATTATTAAACTTTATTAACACAATGTAACAAATAAACTAATTAATCGTTATTATCTGATTAGCTATGTGATTTTAAGCAATAGGGAACTATGTTTTTAAAATCAAAGTTATTTATATAAATCATAAAAATCATAAAAATCTTTTCCCTTCTAATTATAAACGTAACCAGCGAATCGCCGTCATTTTTCAATATATTTTATCCGTTTTATTCTATATATTTACGATTTTCTTAAAAATTCTACAAAGCAGCCCAATGAAGTCGATTTACTATTTCAATGGGCAATTACTTTGGAGTCGAGAAAGCGAAAGATGTTATACCATAAGAAACGCGTTAATGGGAAAAACGCAAACTTTCAGGTTAACATTACAGGCGAGCACAAATAAATTATGCGGTCGATATTAATGCGTCCACCAGACTTTCTTTACTTTATTTTTCTTTTTTTTTAATTTACCCCACTTTTTAACAATTGATAAAAGAATGTAAAAATTCACTCGACAATGTGATATTATCCTGCCAGTGAAATATATTATTATTTAAAAAAAATTAATCTTAATTTAACGTCTAAATTTCAGATTATACATCATTATTCATAATTGTTCATTTATTAACAAACTAACTCTTATAAATATTTTCAGACGTAGAGTTTAAGACATTTTATTACGTTGAATCATAAATCGAGGTTAGGGGGGGGGGTGTTTTTCTTCTTTTATCCGATTCATCGATATTTATTACACACGAAGTTAGATAAACGAGGTAGTAGTAAATTATATATTTAGGAAAAATATTTTTATTATAAGTTTGAGTGTAATTAAAAAGAAATTTAAATCGAAAAATTGTAAGATATCCACGATTATCCTTACATTAGTCATAATAATTTGCTGCATCATGGGATATTAATGATTTTATTACACGTTGTATTATTCTAAAAATAAATATATGCAGTCTCATTTTAACAATGAATTTCAGTGTTTGAGTCAGATATTTAGCAGTAAAATAAAATACGATAATTGTTTTCATTAGGCATAGGAATATTTGGATATTTATACAGGATGAAAATGAATAGGAAGATAATTATTAGTACAATTAACGGCGGCGATAATAATGACAAATATTGCGATATGTTAGAGAATAATAATGATGTAAATGTACTCGTTATCAAAAAGAATCGTTGATTACGGGATGACGATAATCTATAGGAAATAAAGATGAATCCATTGTTGAAAATATTGAATAAAAGATTAGGCGGATAATAGATAGTAATAAGAAAATGGAGTGACCGAGATTCCATTTAAGGAATTGATGTGTCATATTATGGGAAAGTGTTTTTCGTCTCTAGCTTGGATCGACATGAGGGAAATGATGAGTTACCTCGAATGGGAAACGAGTCAAAGGGAAGAAAAATGCGAATATCATATTGTGTGTAATTAGAGAAGCCTCGGACACTTTTCATTCACCTATATCAACTTCGTCGCGTATAAATATGCAAACCGGTTGCCACAACGTGAACTTTAATCAATTTAAAATATTGTATCAATTAATGAATACGTCTCGTAGTATTCAGAAGGTCGGGAGTTGGTGATGCGGGGGGGGGGGCGGCGGCAAGGCGGGGATAGCAGTACTCACGTTAATAATGATGCGTCAGTTGATCGAGTTATCTATTAGAAAATTTTTGGAAGAAAGTACTTTCACGAGTCCTTTTTAAGTAGTTGCCATACAATGTCATTTACAATGTAATTACAAAGGCCAATTACCGAGCTTTATAACATCATATTTTCGATAATTATGCTCGACGTTTGACCGTTGTAAAACAATCGTTTATACATGCTTGGAAATACAAGAATCTTGATGCCTTTGTATTTAAAGGTACGGGATAGGCTGGTAATTATTAGAGGCGAGCGTGTATTTAGGCCAAAGCGAAACAAATGTACGTACATCATCGAGTGCTTCCTAATCTTCAAATCGTTGCATCCCAAATTTACCAAACGACCCGTAACTAATATGCTGTATGGATCGAGAGAATAGCGGGCGGGTGGGTGGAGCGAAGGGAAAGCCATATTTGCAGATACGGAGTGTTTGTGTGTTTTTGTGTGTTTTGTCTGTGTTTTTGTGTGTTTTGTCTGTTTTTGTGTTTGTGTGTGCGCGTGCGTGCGTGCGCGTGTGTGTGTGTGTGTGAGAGAGAGAGAGAGAGAGAGATAATAAGAGAAAAAATAATTTTATCGCCGTAACAAGAAGAAATGGTAACTTAAGGATTCTCTCGTTCACGCTTTTTGCGTAAACGGACCTTTTTCTCAATAACGTCGATTTTAGATAAAATTCAGCAGCAGAAAGGTGGCTAAGTGGGCGTGCAGTCGATGTGGAAATAAAGTCGAGGAAAAACGTGATAATAATCCTCGGCAAGTAGAGTAAATATGTTTCTCTCATCAAGGCGATTTGAATTCATTGCGGTATGTAGTACGCCGGGATCGTATCTCGATATCCCGTCTGCAATTACACGACCTCATATCCGTCTCCTATTGCCGCCTTTCTCACACGCGTCGCGCTCTTTTGTATCATCCGTAAAAAGGACACGAAGTCGGGCACGTGCGCTCCTCCTCGCTCATAATACGTCGATATTGCGATAATGCATTTTCCATTAAAATCCTCCATACGCCTCCTCAAAACGTCGCGCGCTAAAAATAATCGCTCTTCGCTTAAGCGCTATTTAGCTACTTAGTTGGGTAGAGGGTGGGGTGGGGAGGTGGCAATTATTTTGATGGCATAAGTAATTCTTGTCGTAGTCGCGTGGGTCGCATCTAGGGCATTCTCAAATTCAACCTAAATTTAATATTTCGTATATAGACTCATCCTCGAGTCCACTTACGAGCGTCTGTCACTAGTTTGCCTTTAATGGCCTCTTGTAATACCACGGCCTAACGTAAATAGGCGCGCATTTAACGGTGAGCAGTGAGCCTTGGATCGTTCATCTTTCCATTTAAGCGCCGCTAAATCAAATAATCGAATGCCTTGCCTTGCGTTTGCATAAAAGGCGACCGACCTAGCCCCCATTGTTTATTTAATAATTCATCATTCAAATCCACTCGTACCGAGGGATCATCCTGCCGGCACTCCACTGCTCGTTGACGATCTCCCTCGTCCCCTCTACATCCCCTCTCCGGGCCCCACTCGCAAACCAATTCGATTGACAAAAAGAAGGCAGAAATTAAAGACGGATTAGAAAGAAGAGTCACTCCTAACCTACTGGGGCACGATCGCGATCGCGATCGCCTTTCTAAAACGACGACGGCGTTCCCGTACGTCGTCCCCCCGGCCCCCTCTTTAAGGCCCACCAGCTTGGGCTCGCGGCTGCCACCTAGTGGCGCAGGTGTCGACGACTCGCGAGCCGTGGTGGGAGCGACTCGTCGCGGCGGGGGAGGGAGAGAGAGAGAGAGAGAGAGAGAGAGAGAGAGAGAGAGGATCCGGCGGAGGCTGCGGCCGGTGAGGTGAGGCCCTATAGTCGTCTCGACGGACTCAAGCGCGGCGCCTCGACGGAGCCGCTCCTCTGGTACGAGATCGCGAGACTTTCTCCGGCCGTAGGAGGAGAGCGAAATCGAGCCGCGGCGCATCGACGTAAGCCGGCCTCCCGGGCACACGAGAAGTCGCATCAGTAATGCAATATTGGCCATCGCGCGGTGATTCGATTACGCGCCGATCGCTCGCTCGCCCGTACGGATGTCGGTGGCGCTCGACTCGGCTCGACGTAACGACGACAAACCCAACGGCTCGTCTGCGTAACTGGGGACGTTGATCGCGGCTCGGCGTCGTGCTGAGGACGGGAAGGGTGATAGTGCGGTGCCGTGGTGGGGAGTCGAAGGAGAAGTGCGCGCGAGCGAGATTAACGGGCCCGGGGCTCTCTCCTTTGGTCGTAACGAAACGTTGGTACGCGAAAATAAAAAGTCTTTAGCAGCTCAAGGTAGATTACACGGGCGGACTTAACGCGCGCGTTCTTAATTATCGACGACGACTATGTATAATAATAATAGTACACGGGGCGCGCGCGGATTGCGCGACGTCGTGCGCCATTAGGCCACGAGGCCTCGGCTCGCTGGCCCACTGAGTGCGTCCGAGCGCATCTCGTTCGGTCCTTGGTGGGGGCCGGGGAGGGCGGAGGCAGGAGTCGATTTCGCAGGTGCGATGATGGGCGAGAGCTGAGGTGAGCCGAGATGGGACAAGCCTGGTGCAAGGACAAGTCCGCCAAGACGCAGGACTCGAAGTCGCCTCTCGACCGGGTATTCGTGCGCTGCGTCCACCGGGTGAGTACGGAGTAACGTGTGAGGGGCGGAAGGGGGAGAGCGAACGACGGTCGACGGCTAAGAGCGCCGATTTTCCATTTGGAGATTCGGCTTGGCAAGAGCCGTGGCTCTTAATTTTTATGCTAATTGCGAGCGTTGCTGTTCGATAAGTCGTGGCTTGGCGGATTTGGGTCTGCGAGGCCCCGTCCGTCTATGGCATTGGCTCGTCGATGGGACCGTACGCCACGCACGGAGAGACTGTAGTTACTGAGAGAAAAGGCATGAATCGCCGAAGGATTGAGATGCTTAGTCGTTTTTAGCTATTGTGGGTTGTAATAATGCTGGCTTCAACTTGTGTATGCCGAGTTATGTGTGACGAAAATGTTGCGTCGTATAGTCTACAACACATTATCACTTACCATAATGTGCGTTTGTCGTGGTTTTTAATTGAGCGAGAGCTTATTGTTGTTATTGTTATTATTATTAGTTATTATTATTATTAGTTCTTATTAGTTATTAGTTATTAAAACGCGTCGAGGAGTTTATAAGATTTTCCAAGGATTTTTTTGTTGTAATTTGCCCAGTAAGATTGGACGATGCCGATAAGACTCCTTTAAAATATATATGAAATATATATACCGTGTACGGTATACGTATACGTGTATAGTCCGTGTACTCGGACTCATAAACCAAATGTTTTATTTAATAAATCATTTCGAAAGCTAATAAGTGTTTATTATTTCAAATACATATTCATATAGGGGTATTTAAACAAATATTTAATGAAATCCAAGATGTACGTGTATTTGTTTATAAACTGTAGTTGGAATTATATTAAAAAAAATATTTTTATTATATTAATATTTGAGCTTGAGATTAAATTGAGAGAAATTTTTTAACGTTAAATTTTTTGTTCATGCATATATTTTATTTCCTACAGTCTTAAGTAAAAATATGCAAAAATTAATTTTTTCTCACATTTTGATGATGTTACAATTCAAATTTCGCACACGTACATTAAAGTCAATAGGCATTCTGAATTAATATTTGAAAGTTAATTAGAATTTTTAATGTCCCATTATAGATATCCAATTCCTATTGTTGGTGAAATTATATCAAGATAATCGTCAATTATTGTAAACATCTTTATTTTCATTATTAATCTCCCAAACTTTAGTTTATCGTCATTATTCGTATTAATTACATATATGAATTATAATGAATATTTAAAATTCTTTTCCTTTCCTCTACCAGTTGTTAATTTCTAAACGAAAATTAGCCTATGTGCAAGCCAATATGAATGTTGGAAAATCGTGTTAAATACATATTATCGATATTATTAAAATACTATTTTCGGTTCATAATTATTTAAATATCTTTGAAAGATCTTTCTTAAATAATAGTTTCGAGTGCTTTATTACAGTTCAATTAGTCGTCGTTTCTCTGCCCTTAGCTTTGAAGTTTTATATGCATAAAAGTTTAAATTGTAGGAAAACTTATTTATATTTAAATTCAATACTTAATTAAGATAAGCATTGGAAAGTGTTAATGTAATTTATAAATGTATTTTAATTGATTGAATGCATATTAAAAATATAGAAAAGTTTCCTCCTACATTTAAGGCTGTGCACACAATATTTCAAATGTATTAATTAAAATTTATGTATAAGAAATGTTTATATATATTATATTCTATTGTATTTGCGAGTTATTTATTTTTCATTCGTCATGTCGTATTTATTTTACAGATTTTACTTTTGCGAAGCTCATTCACGTAGGCAGACAAATTTTGACATATTTATTAGAACATTAAGATATATTCAATGGTCATAAGTAAAATTCGTATGCAATATATATATATATATATATATATATATATATATATATATATATCTCAGGTAAATACTTAATGGTACATTTAATTTCGCAAGATGCAATCTTAATATTAAAAGAAAAATGACAACATCAAGATAATAAACCAATAATAATACGGGGCACAAAGACTTTGGACATATTAAGAATGGCATATTAAATACAATGTCTTCCCAAATGTATTTACGCATATAGTAGATCGCAGTTGGATAATCGAAACTTAATTTATTTATAATAATAATTACCGGAGTATGTATTTTATATAGTCTCACTTCCCCTTTCTCGCCATAATAGATATAATTTCGAAATTTTGCGATGCTCCGTGAAGCAAGAGTATTAGGGTTCGTAGTTTCCATTAATACGAAAATCTTCTAATGGCATCGAGTTCGAGTTGTGAATAATTTTTCTAGATCAAGAGTTAAAAGTTAAAAAAAAAAAAAAAAAAAAAAAAAAAAAAAAATCTATAAAAGACCGCGAGTCACGTCCGCTTCCATATTCATCGTTAAGGCTTTGTCATATCTTTTGTTTAATGTTCTCCGCTTGGCACATTGAAAATTTCAAATGTACACAGGCTCGGAAGATGATGCGCTCGTTTTCGTCGGACTTTTGATTAGAAACACCTTACTCCGCATTTATGGCCGGTATTATCAGTCATAAAGTACGAGGGAAACAAATTTTCCGAAACACAATATGTAACTGTTCGATTCGAAAGTAATTTCTTTATTCAGTGCTCTTGTATGTGCGCGCGTGTGTGTGTGTGTGAGCGTGCGGGTGGTAGTCGTACGGTCGTAATATTCGTTTTGTTGCAAGAGAAATAGCGTTTATCCATCTGTAATTTATGAAAGCACTTTCAGCGAAGAATAATGAAAGAAGCTGAGCATTTTTCAGACTGCTCGATAAGGTTTTAATCATAGGCTGAAAACTTATCGAATAACAATAGTGGAATCGTGTTGCTAGATTGAAAATGTATTATCTTATCAATCAAATTTAAATGCCGATTCAGGTTGTCTTTGACAGCATTGCAGCGCGCTTATTACATACAACAATGCACGCATTGCATAAATGGCCGTACGAGCGATTGCGAATAGAGGCTCGACTCTGATTATTTTTGTCCTTTAAAAACGAGATTCTATTTTTCAAGTCACAGCAGTTTTTTTGTTTCTGTTTAGATGGGGGGGGGGGTGTGGTGGGAGGCGATTGGAGCAAATGAAAAGGAAGTATTGCCTAAGCTGGTGAATCTAAGTATGTTAATCAATAATGTTGGCTGGAGTCGCGCGTCTATCGTATCTACCGTCGCGTTGTCGCTTTCGAAGCTTAAAATGTGAAGAAAAAAAAGATAGCAAAAAGTCGTAAATCGACGGTTTGCTCGACTATTAATGATAAGCTGTTTGGCATAATTGTGCACCTGACTTGGACTTAAGGATGCATTAGCCACGAATTCCAGATATATTATATAATGAGCGGCGATGCAAAAACGCGTAAGGCGCGTTACGTTACGCCGTTGTCAGGTGGATAAGCGGGTGTGCGCGAGTATGCGCAATGCATGCGCGAATTATTCGATCGGATTGTTTATTTGATGTTTTCATTTGTAGTCGTTGGCTCGGACAGGAAGTCATAAATTATACAGTTACTGTATACGCGTCGCTAATCCGAATCACTTTATACTCTTTAAATGTAAATACGCAGGCTATAAAAATTATAATACGAGCCTCGTCGAGAATTTACGTCTCCTCAAATGGTTAATAAGAATTATTTCGTTGTTTTCAACGCTATCGTTTCGCGCTAGTTGTCCACTATGTTGGGCATTTTAATTTTTTCTCCTTTGTTTTACAAACGCGCGGGTCTGTTTTCTTTAATCGCTCGTTCGCTCGCAATCGTTGTGTAAGAATTCATGCGCTTGGATGTGTCGCGAAAAGTTGGAAAAGACGGGCTCTCGCAATTACGAGATAAGTAGAGGCGTATTAGCAAAGACCTTGCACGAAAAAAATGAGCTCCTAGAGGTGAAATAGAAATAGCATATTGAATTCATGGATCCCAATAGCTTCACTCGCATTGATCCCGCTAATAAATAATTCGCGCGGATAATTATCATCGGATAATTCTCGAATAACGAGAGCTTATCAAACGCGATTTTTTCTTATCTATGCGCCCTTCTCAATGGCCCCTTTATCTAGTAATGCCATTTCGATTATTATTGGCAGTTGGATCACATCGGGGTTTATTGGCTGCTGTCAACGGACTACGTAACGCCTACGTAACGATTATAATATCAACCTCAGCGTTATCGCAATTGTAATAGATCACGCGGATCGCGACGATCGTAATCGATCGTTAGGTACTGTCAGTAGCTATTGCCGAGAAGTCGGATGAATGCTTAGCGAAAAAGTCGGCACAGCCGACCGTCGTCGTAAAAGTCGCGCCGACGCCTTCCTCTTGGATTATTGGCACGTAATAGGACGTACGAGCACGTGGCCCCGGACTTTTCCATGTCCGAGTTAATAGTTTTTCCGGAGCCATTAGGTAGTGGAGATGGCGATGGGGCGGTATGGGGCGGGGCTAGAGGCGAGGAGGGGACTTAAGCATAATAATGTGGCTCTTGCATTTTTTCGGGGTCGCTCATAATTCGAAAATAATGGCGGCCGTTGATGGGAGAGCACCCGTCCCGCCCTTCTCCTTCTCAATGGCTCGCATAAAGCAAGCGCCTTAATTATTTATCCGCGGAAGTCATGAGACGACTCAAAGATAATGCTTAGGATCGTAAAAATGGAATTGTCGAGAGGATCGGCTGTGCCGAAGAGAGGGTGGCATTTATATTTCAAATAATCTGAAAAGAGAAGCGGACTACGATGATGCCGAAAAGCAGAGAATTCAGTACCAGTAATTGCGCGAGGTTTTTAAAATGTTATCAAATGAACGGAAGAGGAGGAGGAGGAGGAGAAAGAGCGTGAGAGGAAAGAGGAATTAAATAAACACGGCGGTAAAGTGCGACTAAAATTACTTGGTATGGAGGCCGTGGAGGAGAGATACAACGCGTGAATTAACGCATTTGTACGGTTATTTCTCTTATCTTAATCGGCAGCAAATAATGGTGGTTTATATAAAAAATACAATAATTGCCGGATGCGAGCGGATATTTGGGATTGCCGACT